TTCTATAATACGACACATTATCAAACAATAAGTGTACAGCATAATAATTAATTTACATTATTTGTTACATAAATGATTAGGTGAGAAAATGCGTCGAGCTGATCATCAGCAAGCCTTATTGGCAATATTAATTAATTTTTTGATATGGCAAGGTAAGTGTTATTATTCGTATCTATAAATTGCCCGTTGGATAATGAACGTACTCCGGTAATGCGTCAAATATTTATTTTATTTTATTTTTTACAGTTGCAACGTCCGACAGAGATGTAAGACTTACCCATGATGGGCCTGTTGTACTTGGAGGTATTATCACTTTTAGGGCAGATCTTTTAGATAGCGACGGTCAGGCGCCATCCGGGAGTTTTATTTACACATGGAAAGATAATGCTCTTGATCAACATTTTTATCAGGTACGTTACATTATCTTATTCATTAAATAATTAATTTAAAATGATGTTTTTGTTTATATTCTCAAGTACTTCAAAGCTTATTAAAATCAATCAGACAATCGTATTAAAATAAAGGTTCGTTATTTCAAAGCTGATTATAATGGAACTTATATTTGTTGAAAATTATAAATAAAAATTTTATTTATCATCGATATCGCAGTGATTTATTGCTCAATAGGTTTTGTCATATTTTAATATAATTTCCTGTTTTAGACTGCAACGATAACAAATACAACAATGTATTATAGTGTCAGTTATCCAGCTTCGAAGTATCATGTAGGTGAATATACAATGGAAGTAGCTGTATGTAAATGGCTTTTATTTATTCAATGTAGAGAATATACAAGTAGAAGAATATATTTTCATGTTACTGGTGAGTAAACTATTTTGCGATAAGAATTATGTGATGTAAATTGGTAATATCATTATACTTTATTCACCTATTCTAGCTCTATTTAATGGAAATTTAAATCTTGAACAGTCGAATAAAACTGTACAAAATAATTTTATATCTTCTGCCGAAGTAACAAATTTATCTGTAGATTTACGTAAAGGCGATATCGATTATATAAATAAAACAGCGACATCAATATTAACATATTGGTTTGTTGACTGTAAATTTTACAATAAAACTGACAATTTCAAGACAAATTATAATTTCACTCTTCCCAACTCTTTTCACATTATTGAGGCTCTCGTGGTAGCTTCCTTTGATTCGCCTACAACCATCGCACCTATCGTCCCAACATCTTCGATTGCATCAACAAACGTGACGTCGGTTTCGCTTAATATTGCATCTACAATTTCAACGACACCTTTGACAACAACTTCAATAGCTCCCAATAGCTCTATAATTTCAAATACATCTAACAAAACACTGCCTGAACTAGGAATAGACACATTTCCTTTTGTGTGCAAGTCAGTTGTTGAACCAAATATAAATAAAGTTTATGGCTACTTTCAACGCGAAGTGAAGATCAGAGGTAAGCATAGCTTTCTTATATATTTATATATATCTATTATATAATTTAGAATTATTTTGTGACGATTATTATTTTATTTCTGTTGGTTAATAGCTCCTATCTCGAAGCTCAGCGTGGAAGGTTCGACGTGGATTCAACCGTGGAACAGTCTTTCGTTAATTATATCGTGTAATGGCACGGGGCCTTTTCATAAGTGTATCAAAATACATATAGGAAAGTATAATGTCACTGGTAACGAAACTTGTAACCAAGACGCTGAAACTCTAGATACTTGTAAATTTTCATTTAATCATTATTTTCTCGATGCTCTTGAATATACGGTTTTGGTAATATTAAGCAATGACGTTAGCACTGACATCCATCCAGTAGCGGTCAATATTTATAAACGTAAGCTTTACTTTCATTAAATTCAATAATTACTTCAATTTATATTAATTTTGCCTTACCAAATAATAGTATTTTAATTTTTAATGAATTATACAATAGAAAAATAAACCATACAATTCATCTATATATTAATTGATTAAAAAAAACTCCATTACAATAACTATTTCAATTAAAGAAATTTTAAATACTATTAAATACTATTAAAATTCATCCTATAATTTATATGTGCATATATATATATATATATATATATATTCAAAATAAATATACTCTTTACAATGTTATCTTCATATTTAGTGACGCCGAAGCCGCAGCTATCCGTAATTGTGGTGCCGGTCTCGTGTTCCTTGGTCGCCGTTGTCCTCATAGTTTTTGGAATTGCCTATTACATTCAAAGTAGGGCACGCTTTACTGTGGAAGTCGCGGATTTCGATTTTGGACGGAGTAATCCTGATATGGAGTATAAAACTTTTACCGAGAGACTACGAGATTCATTCAATAATGCTGTAAGATACAGACACGAAAGATTATTAGGCTCTGCATCGCCTTGTTACGGAAGCATGCACTACTGACACTAATAAACCAACAAGTTAATTATGCACCAAAAATGCAAGCAAATTTTTTATTTTAACTTATTTTGCTATTATTTATGCTATGCGTTATTTTTACGAATTTAGAGGATATATCGTCATTTTACTTTAATAACACTTTTGATATACGTTAGTGAATTTTATATTTTATAAAAAAAAAATTTGCATGTTACAAAATTTTGGTCTATGGTCGTTTCAACTAATAAAAATAGAGTTTTTATTTCTCTTCAAATTAATAACCAACTATTTATGAAATTTATAAATAATAGTCTATTGTTATTGTTTTTAATTTAAATTATTAATTAACAAGATTTTTCCTAATGTATTAAAATTATAAATATTTAAAGTTGTAGATTATAGAAATTAAAAATATTATCTAAAATCGTTGAATATAAAGATAAACGTATATTGATATATAAGATAAGATATAAATTCTATTTTACATACGTGGGACTAAATTGAATTGCTTAATTGATTAACTATATACTAATATTAGTTAGTAAAATTGTAAATAATTTTATCCATTTGATTTTATACGTAAAGGCTTTTCAATTTATTTAAAAGGAAATGAAAATTGCATTAAAAAAAATTAACATTATATTAAAGAATTATTAAAATGAATATTTGTTTTCAATATTTTATAAGCAACGACGTATTAAACTTGTAGCACATCATTAATCAATAATAACATGTTTATTCTGTGGGAATAATTTATCAACACAATAGAAAATAATAACATTATTTTTCGAATAAACTAACTGTACATGTCCTTCAAAATTTAAATCCTTATTACATTATTTTTACTGTAGTATATAATAGCCTATGAATTTAATATTTTTATTAATCAAACTATCAATTTATAAAATTATAAAATAAATAAAATATGGATTTCAAAGTAACATAAGTCATTATATATGCTTGAAAGTGCTTTCTTTGATTAGAAAATAAAAGTAAAATTTTTATGTTACTAAAATGGTTTAATATTTTAGGGTTACAAACAACTGAATAACACCAAAGACTTACAATGACAAAGCGCACCGCAGAACGTCGAAAAGTGACGATGAAAAATATCAAGAAATACGCAATTAAAAAACTGAAAATATGATTGAATTACGAATTCTGGAAGCTTGGCTTATAGTATTATTATTATTATTATTATTATATACACATACAAACACACACACACACACAGACACTCATACATATATATATATATATATATATATATATAGATTTATAATATTGCCAATCATTGTAATTCACGCATTCACGTTAACCGAAATTGTATATAATAAATTAAAATCTAATGTAAAAAATGTTATGCGCATAGGCTGTGAAAATGGTGACAAGATAAAAGGAGTATCGTCAATGGATAAATGATTCAATATATTATGTAGTCTTATTTATAAATTTATGATTACTTATAAATATTTTCGAGGTATCGTTATTTTTTTATTATTAATTTAGTAAGATAAAATGATATATAAACTGTCAAAATGAAAGTAAAAGAAAACAGGTATTCCAAAATAACTTTTATTATAATAAAATTTTTCCATTTTATTATTATTTTTTAAAGTTTTTATTTTATATATATATATTATTTATATGTCAAGACGTGTTGCATGTGTAGATATATATATATATATATATATATATATATATATATATGTGTGTGTCTACATTGTATATTAATAAATTATGATTCTACTACTAATCGCAAAATGAATAAATAATTAATTAATATCTTATTATTTATATTATAGTAATAATATTATAAAAATATGTATGATTTGTAAAATAATTAAGAATAATATAATATATATGATAGCACTAAAGAAAAAGAAATAGGAATAACTGCTTGTTGTTGACTAACAAAAGAAAATAAACAAGTAAATGATATATAGCCATTTACAATAAACCGATAATGAAAATAAATACTTACTTTAACTTGAATTAAACCACCCTAATAAAAAAAGAAATCATGAAATTAATGAGTTTACATGCATGTACATCAATTTTACTGGAAACTTATGATATAACTTGAAATTTTTCATCAGTAATTAATTATTGGCCATAAAATATATTATTTATTACAAAATTACATTGATATTTCATGCATTTCATTGTAATATGATTTACTTTCTATGATCTTGTTAAAATTTTAATTTTAATAAGTTTTATAGTCGACATCTTTTCTCAGGTTTATAAACCATTGCTAATTAATTACAAATATTTTAAATTGAGTTCATCTACTAAATCATTTCGTATATATTAAAAAAAAAACCAAATGACTTGTCCTTTATAATTTAATAATTACTTAATATCCATGTATCCTGATTTATAATAAAAATATATTTAAAAGTTTTATTTCCTTGAATTTCAATCTAATGATTGATTTTTTTTTTTTTTTGTATTTATACAAAAATCTAATAATAAAACATATTTACATTCCTATACACTTTATATTTACTTTGAAATCATATATAAATTTCATCTATTAGATAAATAATGTAAAATGAATAAATATAATTAATCATAGAAGTATTGTGAACTATCAAAAGAATAATAAACATTCCTTGATATATATAATACAAAACAATTTTAAAATCAAATGATTAATGACAGGTTTAACAGAATTGGCTTAAACTGTGCAACACCTACTTTCTAAATATATTTGAATTCAAAATGAAAAAAGACTTGTTTTTATTCAATACACAAGAAAATAGAAAATATTTCATTATTAAAACTTAATTATCCATTAATAACAGCGTATATGTACATATTTGGACTAAAAATTAAAAAAATATGTTGAAAATTAAAAGAAAATATAAAATCAGATAACAATAAAATATATTTGTTGTTAAGATAAGTGAATCTTTTCTATTCTATACACAATTATTTTAAATATTTTATAAAAATTATTAGTATTATAATACAAATTATTGCGCAGAAAATTTATTAATTATCATCTAAATTAACAACTTAAAAATTCTCATAATAAACAGCAATTAATATAAAGATTTTAATCATTTAAAAATATGTACATTTAATACATTTACGGTACACAACAATTTCTTTATTAATATATTTACATAATAATTTTTAAATTATTGCAAAATACAGTATTTTTTTTTAGTAAATAATTTTATTTACATAAGATACGATAATATGGATAATTAAATTTAAATTACAGAAGAAATTATTTTTTGATTTACGAATCAAATATACATACGGTTTAGTCTCTAATTTAGCCAGCACTTAAAATATAAATAATAAATATTTTAATGGAATATAGAATTCACTTTTTTTTTTCATTAAACAATATTTATATATTTGGAAATAATTATGTAATAATTCTGGCAGCCATGATTTCGTCAAACTTAAATTTAATGGGTTAATAATTTTAGGTAGTAACAACGTTGTTTTTTAAATTATATGTATGGCTATATTTATGGAAAATTTGAAATAATAAGAAAGTACATACCTACACGTAAGTTAATAAAATTTTTACCTAAACTGATAAATACTTTTAAATAATGTTATCAAATATAATTTAAGTTCAATTTCAAGATATACAAATGTATTTTTATTAAATTCCTATCCAAAATAAAGCAAATTATATATATCAATCGATTAAATAATACAACAAATATTAGATTATATTTAGAAATAGAAATAATTTATCGAAATTGTACAATGAATATATCATAATCCATACAATAAAAATATTCCAAAACTATTAACAATCGAAATAATGTTAATTATTATTTTATAATCATTCTTATCGAGTATCTCTTTAAATTAAATAAAGCTTATGTTCCCCAAAATGTTCCAAAAAATTATAATTTTTGGCTTTCTTTCGTTAATGCGATGACTGTTGATTTTCAAAAATGAAAATTTCCTATTTAAAAACTTAAAATTACTTTACTTCGACGTATCGTATGAAGCAACAAAATTCATTTTAAATAGAATATGTAAACCACTTTCTTAGACTCTACGACACTTTATTTCATTTAAAATACGAAGAGGAGTCTGCATCTTAATCGACATAATTTCAATTACACACGCTTCACTACTACTAATTCAAATGAATTTATAAATCTGGTTCTGGTTATGTGGCTGCAGAGCTGTCATCTGTTATACCTTTTTGAAGCTTAAGGTCTATAAGGTCAATGAAATTGATTTCTTTTTTTTTCAACTTTAAGGAATAGTTGAAACGTATAATTAATAATATACTCTTAAAGTTCAAAATTTAATGTAAGCTCATATTATCATGAATTTATATTTCCGTATTCCGGCAATTGACCGTGTATTTATCATAAATTTCATTCGAAATACATTTTTAAGATGTAGATTTTTTCAGACCGTGGAGCCTCGAATTATGACTATAAGTATCCAATTAATTGACACGATCGAACCATTTTGACTTTCGTTTTGTACACTATTTCAAACATTTTTCCTACTCAAATAATACCAACGTTAAAAATGACAATTCAATAATATGTGATGTATGTAACAAAGTATTAGGCTTTGTTTGAAAATTTTCCTAATAGAATTGAGAATAATTTTTATTCCGGGTGAAATTACTTTTTCCTAACTTTTCTTTATAAAATTAAAACAAAAAAAAAAAAACAAAACAAAACAAAACAAAAACAAAAGAAAACAAATCAACAACATTCATTAATAAAGATAAAAAAAAAAACTTTGTTTCTAGCGTTAGAACAACGATTGGCCAATAGCATAAAATACTTTGAAAATATCGAGAAATCTTATTAATTATTCGTATTTGCGTTAATTGCATCTCGCGCTTAGACAGCGTACAGCGGGCCGCGAACATTTTAGTGAACTCGGTCCGTCGATATCCCCAGACGTCCTCTCTCGCCTCCATCCCCCTCCTCGCCATCACCAGCTCCTCCGCCAACCCTATAAAACAATATAATATCCTCCCCCCGGATCTCGTCAATTGACGCTCGTTTGGGGAAGCAGCGATTTCGAGGGAACAGTTTCCCACGCTCCCCCGACTCCCGACCGCCCAGTCGTCCCTTGCCCAGTCGGGGCAAGAGAAAAGGAGAAAGAGGAGCCGCTCCGCACACCTGTCTCACTGTACATCCCCCCTACGAGACCCCGCCGCGTTTCTCCCGCGACGATGTGTCCGCGGGGGTGGGTGGGGAGCAGGTGCTGCGCCCCGAGGACCTCGTGGCCGGCGCCGAAAACACTCTCCCGCGAATGCGAAGCGACGCGACGCGTATACAAGAAGGCGCTCGCAGTCTCTGCACTTGGCTCTGCCCCCACCAGCGACCGAGCCCCAACTCCTAGACTCGTCGTACTCCATAGCCGCAGTTTCGAAGGCGGAGTGTGCGCGAGTCGTCGTGCTCCTCCCGTACGTCGCCGTCGCTCGACTTCGGGACAGCCCCTCGAAAGTTCGCCAGAGCACGGCGGCGAGTTCAGTGCTTGCTGGGTCGTCGTGACGCTCGGAGCGCGCCACCCGGCCTCGACCCTCGCAGCAGCATCGTCGTCATCGTCCCTGGTCGTATCCTGGCCCACTTCGATCGCCGGACTTACTCGCCAGCCGCGTGCGTGCGCGCCTCGATCGATAGCAGGGCAGAGGAGGCGCTCACACGGGGTCCCCGGTGCGCTCGAGGACGATGAGCCTGGCCGAGGACCGCTAGATGCCTGTGGGGACGACCGCCGAGCCGGGAACGCAGAGCCCATCAGTCAGGCCTCGAGTCAGCGACGGACGGCTGCGCCGAGGACGAAATGGTCAGTGCCCACGAGGTGTTGCCTCCCGCCACCTCTCAACGCCAGCCCCCCCCCCCCCCCCAACCCCCTCAGCCCCATCGCACCCGTAATGGTTATACCTCCCACGTCTCGAGATCAGCCAGCCAGCCAGCCAGCCAGCCAGCCAGCCAGCCAGCCCCCTCGATTGACCGTCGTAGCGTTGTTCGTCGTTCGTCGTTCGTCGTTCCGTACTCGCTGCTGGCTACGTACACACTCGTTGCGTCACGTGAGCTGATTGTGAAAATTTTGCAGACCCGGAGATGGCACGACGAAGCTTGGGATTTTGAAGCCCGCGAACTTTGACCAAACCCCCTCGTGTGCACCCGCGCGTCCTTCTTCTGTTTACTATGGTATGATCCGCCGTATGCGTATGCAATGACAAACGGGGACGGCCAATTATCATCCATCCCATTCTGTTAACATTGGAAAATCCTCGTTTATCATCCCTCCAGAGTCATGGACTAATCTTGCCATTTGTTTACGTACTCGATACGGTGTGCATGGTGCATGGCGCATAGTGCATTGTCATTATCATTATCATTACCACGGATTGTGGCAATTGATAAATAAACGAATTGGTAGGGATCGTCGTTTTACGCGGGATGCGCTTATACCATCCACCGCTTGATAATACCATTTTGCCAAAGTGCTTCGTTGATTAGGGATTAAGGGTCCGAAGGAAACAATCGATCGTTCTAATAGTAGGTAGGCCGTAAGTAGCATTAAAATTCAAATTGTCTTTACGCATGATTTGCGA